TCCCACGCTTTGGCTTTTTGTTTTTTATTGTTTTACTTGTGTTGTGGTTGAGTGCACCCATTAATCCTTTTTTGTGTGGATTATTGGGTTGCTTTGACTGCGAACACTTGAATTTTTTTTTTTTCTATTTTTTTGTTTTTGTTGAGGAAGTGTCAGTCTCTTGTATTCTTGTAAGGCCAATTAGCTTTTCTTTGACATACGCCGTGCGTCCGTTGATCCACGTTACTCTGCGGTCTGCATCGCTACTGTTTCTGCTATTGATGATCTCTGCGATGTGGTTTGCCAGCGGACGTCTTGCTTTCACCCTGAACTATTCCTTATTTCTTGACGATGTGGTCTCCTCCCTCAGCGAGGTTTATCTCGTTTACGGTGGGGAGAATGCATCCCAGGGCGCAGGACGCGTTTCAGGCGTGCAGCGGCTTTGTCTGGAAGGACCCATGGGTTCCCGTCCGCATCAAGACGTCAACAATAGACCCGTGTGACAGCAGGAGGCACTGCGGCTTCTCCCGGTCTCACGCAATGGTTTCATTGAATGACAACCGCCATTGTGAGGATGGTGCTCTATCCTCTGCACACGGTAACATCCTTGCCGAGGAGACTGTCCCTGCTGCTGCCAAACTGCATGCGGATCGTCTGCTCGTCCAGCCACTGGAGGGTCCGTTGACTGTGCCCCCATTTGCCACGAGCAGCGTTTGCAGTTGGTTCACGGTGACTGCTGGGCATCGTTCCACTGGTGCTCCCAATTCTGTCATGACATGGTGCTGTGCGTGGCTGCGGCGCCGGGTGGTGTGTAGGCGCTGCCGTGCGTCACGCTGGAGGATGGCCGTCCAGTTGCTGGCGCCATGCACTTTTCCCGGCCGTTTTATTTCACGGATGCATCGCCACCCGCATCGCCGCGCACCTGTTGGCCCATGCTGTCGGGTTTGACTGCCCGCACATGGCTAGCCGCAGCATGGTGAGGCATGCTATTGGTGTGCGTGGCAGAGCGCTGTTGGTGGTGGTGCACTCGACGAATGCCGCGATGGCTGCGAGGGAGCACCACGACTGCGACGACATTGATGGCATGGAGCTGCAGGATGACGATGGGGACGGGAGGACGCTGGAGTCGCACTGGTCGCGGCGCCACGCGAGGGATGAGTGGATGGCACCGATTGGGGGTGCCGGCGACTGCAGAGGAAGTGCTCCGCACTGAACATGAGTGAATACTCCCACATTCTCTGCGAATTGGGCGTTCTTGCCAGACGCTGCACGTCGGATTGTTATTTTAGCGGTTGGTGTCTGGGGAGTATGCATGAAATGTCAGCAAAACGCCCGATGGACAGTTGTCCCATCACTGATCCCGCACTGGATGTGAGGGATATTGAGGCTGTTATTTGGAGGGGAGAATATTTGTCTGCGGTGCCCGGGGATGAGCCCTCTTCGTGGTGTCTGGACACGCTTCCCAACAACACGACGGATGCGAGGAACCCGGAGGAGACACATCTCAGTGCTGCAGCGCATGCGGCATTGAGGTGCCTCAGCATGCAGTTGCATCTGGAGGTGACTGAAGAGGGTAACATCCGTTGTGTCCCATGCACGGACGGGCGACGGTTGCGTGGGCCACTCCACCCTACGATGGGGGACCGTTATTTGCCGTGACCACGCGCAGGTGTGCACGATATCTGCCAACAGCGGTAGCCTACTTCCAGTGGTTCCGTGGGGCGGCGAGGAGAGAGCATGTGAGCAGGACGGTTTCACCGGCATATACTGAACAAGGATTGCCAGGGGCATCTGTCCCCGTTGTGGGGAGCATTGAGAACGGCCGCGGAAAACCATCAAGGGACGTAGACACGGCTGCTCCCCAGAAGCATCCGTTGCCAGAGGAGAAGGAAGTCGCCCCAGATGCCACGACGGCAACGGAGTGATCTTGCCCAGCGACACCGCGGGTGCGCCGCAGGAGGCGGAGAAGATGAGCGATGTTCCGGACAACGACGATGTGGCAGCCGATGGTGTGACGTCTGTTGTGGGACAATCCAACAGGAGATGAGGCCGTGAAAAAGAAGGCCGGTGGTGGCGCCGCAGCCACGGGACCCAAGAGCCCTGATGCCGCTGATGACGCGCAAGGTGCCGTGGACCCTCCGCCGAGGGAGGATGACGCAGCGGTGGGGCGCGGGGATTGGGAGGAAGACATGAAGTACGCCTCGCCTTCGATCCACGGCAATAACACTGCTGCTGCTGCTTGTCCCTGTCCGCTGCCGCCGCCGTGCCAACACTCTATTGGGTGGCTGCATGGATGCCGCTGCACGACGAGGCGACTGCGGTTGAGTCCTGCGTGGCCCGCACTCAGCAGTGGTTGCAAGAGAGAAAAGCCCATATCAATTGGCATTTCCTATCAGGATATACATTTATGTGCTCTGCTTGTCTATATAATTTTTACCAGGGATATGCTGTATACATTCTTTCTCTTTTGTGTTGGTTGCTAATGTGGCGGCACCACGCGTGTTTTAATGGGTTTTGGGATAACAACTTGTTTGACTTTTTCTGAAGGATACTGTGGGGCGTTTGTGTGCGTGTGCGAGGGATTTGTGTGGTTTTGATTTTTTATTTTTATTTATTTGCTTCGGCATTGTGTAATGATACTTCGCTTCTCCCATTATGTGTGTTTTGGTGTGTGCGGTAAATGAATTTTGTGAAATAGCAAAACATCGGTGCGTGGCGTGTTGCTGTCCTGTGGTGTGCTCGCTGTTGCGGTGGCATAGTGTGGTGCTCGTTGTATTACTCCTGTTGCGTTCGTTTCTGAAGTGTTGCTAGGGCACCGGGAGTGGATGCCTGTGGACGCGCACCGTGCATTATGCGTGGCATTGGTGGGAGGGGATACTGACATAGTTGGCGGGATTCAGTAAGTCGCATTTTTGTCCACAGACCCTGCAGCTGCACCAGTCTGAGTGGCGCTTTGCATATGGGCCTGTGGATTGGTTTTCTCTTGCGAGGCTTTTTTTACTGCTTGTCATTTTCCGCTCGGATACCGTGCCCGTGGCAGCTGCATTGGCATCAAAAGAGCCGTGTGTGTGTGGAGAGTCCTTGATTGAGTACCTGCCTTACTTCTCTGTTATGTCAATTGATTGTTCCGTGTGCCGGCCAAACGATCGACACGACGTGCTGCCGACGGAGGGGTCCACGTGACATGATGTTGCGTCGCGTGCTTCGGCGCGGGTGTGTGATTTCCGCAACAGCCGTTGGGCGGTTGCCTGTTGGGTCGTTGAGGGTGGCGTGGCGGCGGGTGCGGATGGACCCGATTGTGTGCCGTGGCTGTTCGTGCGAGGGAGCCGCGGGAAGGAGGAAGGCGGCGGAGCGATGGACTCCCGAGGAGTGCGGGGCGAGCAGCCATGAAGGTTGGCGACAGGGTATTCACTGCCCTGTGAGTTGCCGTGTGTGGTGTTTATTATTATTATTATTTGCGTGTTGGATGTGGCCGCTGTGGGGGAAGAATTTTTTGTTTTTGCTTTTTTTTCACGCCGGCTTGGCATCCTTTTCTGCGCCGTCATCTCTGTGTTCCTGCCGCACCGTGGCGTCCTCTTTCTTTTCCATTTTGGGGGCAGCTGCGTGTGGGTTTTACATGCCATGGAGTTGTGCGCCGTGCTGTCCGGTGTTTCATTGTTGCTTGTTATTCCTGCGTGCACGCGTCTCCCATGGTCATGACAACAGCCCTCATGTAATCACCACTCCTTCTCCATGCTGCTGATGCGTGTGTGTGTTCTTCTCATCCTCCTCTCTTTGCCCCTCTCTAGACTGTTTGTGCAGCCGTGATGATGATGGTGACTGGCCGCCTGCTGTTGCTATGTGCCCTCTGTGTGCTGTGGTGCGGTGTCTGCGGTGGTGGATGTTCTGAAGCAGCTCTAGAAGCTCAGCTTATTGAGTCCGAAGACAATAAACGCAAAGATGAAAACACCACAACCGATGACGTTGGAGAAGGTGGCCCAACCGGTCAACCGGCAGTTACACAACCAGCAGCAGGATCGGTGCCTGTATCGGGAATTGAAGCGGAATCGGCACTACAACCCGCAGCAAAGGCGTCAGGAACGGCAAATGCAACGACGGAAAAAGAAGATAAAGCTGATAATGAGGAATTGAAGGAAGAGGAAGGAGAAGAGGAAGAAGAGGAAGAGGAAGAGGAAGTGGATGAAGATGACGAGGAGAAAAAAGAAGTGACGGAGGAAGAGAAAAAGCAAGAAGAAAAAGATGATACCAGCACTACAAAGAGGATTTCAGCAGTCGGTCAGGAAGAGCCAATTTTATCTTCTCGTGTGGAGGAAGCATCGAATAAAACAAAACCCCAAAGCACTCAAACAACTGGCGACAAAGATCCAGCAGCTGATGGTGCAGTGACACAAGAAGAAAAACAAAATGAAAATAAAGAAGTCAATCCGAAGGAAACACCAGTCGAATCCACCGTAACGAAAACCACAACGGCGACGACTGGCGACAGCGACGGCAGCACCGCGGTCTCCCACACCACCTCCCCTCTTTTGCTTCTCCTTGTTGTTGCGTGTGCGGCTGCTGCTGCGGTGGTGGCCGCGTGAGAGTGAGGGAGAGAGAGCCGTGCACCGTCCGCACACACAATTGTCCTTCTCTCTCACTCTCTGTGTGTGTCCCCTTGCATGGACTCTCGCCCTCACCTCACCCCACGAGGCACACACATAATGTGCCCATTGTATATATTGCATGCACACCCATGCAGGCCCGTTGGTGCTCTCTTTTGCACGACACGCACCGCTGCCGTCCTGCCTGGCTGCATGGGCGGAGCACCGTAACTGTTTTTGTTTTTATTGCATTGAGTGGGTGACCTCTCTCTCTCTCTCTCTGTGTGTGTGTGTTTTGCTTTACGGGAGCAATGAGAGTGTGTGCGCTGGTCGTCCCACGCCTCCGCTTTTTGTTTTTTTGTAAATTTAATTTTTTTTTTCTGTTTGCTTTAAAAATTTTTGCTGGTTTTTTTTTTGTGTTATTAATTTGTGCTGTTTTTTTTTCTAATCTCTCATCCTTCCTTTTTGCTTTTGGGGGCAATCACTGTGGACGTTTTTTCTTTTCTACTCTTCCCTCTTTTAATTGTTTCTTGCTGCACTCTTCCTGTGAGGGGTGCCGTGTGTTTCCCGCCCAACTGCTCCACTCGCACACCCACCGACACGCTCATGACGACGGCCCTGTGCGCCTCGCCTGCTGCACGCATGAGGAGGGGCCGCGACGAACGGCGCGCTGAGGGAGCCGTGACGTGTGGGCGTGCGACGAGGGCCTGTGGGGCGGAGCACACATTTCTTTCCCTCTTGTTTTGTTTTCTTTGCGGCCAGGGTGGGCAGACACCCGCAGCGCCACACACACAGCCACACCCTGCCGCCGTGTTTTTAAGATTTTTTGTTTTCTTTTCTTGCTTTTGTGGATGGGTGTGTGCTGCCACCGTGCGTGATTGTTGAGGTTTGGGCCGTACCGCATGTATCGCTGCCATCCAGCTGTGCCTCTTGCTGTGCTGATGTGCCTCCCTGTAATTCTCTTTTCAGCTTCTCCAACAGACACCCACACACATAAGTATTTGCAAAATGCTCCGCAAGAATGTATTTGCACTGCCGGTTGCGTGCTTTGCTCGGTGTGTGCTGGCGCGTGACGGACGGTGCCACGATGGCCTTCTCCGGCGATGACAGTCGCTGTGCTCTCGGCACACACTTCCACACACAATTCCTTGTCTCTCTGTGGGTGTGAGTGCGGCAGCAGCGTGGTCTACGGCAGCGGCAGCTGGTGTCTTGGAGAGGGACGAGGCGCCGAGGAACAAGAGGGCGAACCTGCTGGACGCGATTACGATGGCGGATGAAAGCTGTTTCGTTGCCTTTGCTTCGTACATTGCTAAGAATGCGCCGTGTCGCTGCCTGACGGGATGCCTGCACTCGGCGCCCTTCGAGGCATTGTGTTGTTTCATTCAGTGTGATGTCACAATCATCATGGCAGCACCTTTCTTCACTGGCCTTGAGTGTGACAATACGAATGACGGCAAATAGAGCGATGAGGATTATGGTGACGACTTGCACCGAGGGGCGGATTATTTGCGTGTCTTGGTACACGAATCCCAGGAGGGTTTGAATGCCGTCCCCACAATCCCCGGCCTTGCGGAACCGTTGGCTTTCGCGCTGTCACCCGCCGTAATTAGTGCCCCATGCGTTGAGGCTGATCCATTTACCGTGGAGTTCACGCAGCAGCTCTCGAGTGGCTGTGCTGCTGGTCCCGCGTTGGCCCTTTCGCATGTATTTTAGCATTGCCTGGCGTGCGATTTGATGTCTGTTTTGTCCAGGCCGCCGCCTCCAGTTTTCTTTTGGTGCCCAATAAGAAACACTTTCCGTTGCGGTGGATATTTATTTGCATGGTCGTCGATGCACGTGACGATGCTCAACGGGTGTGTCTTTTGTTTGGTGGGCACGAGGGAGACTTCGGTGTGCGCCGACATCTCCGCGAAAGACTTCGTTGACGGATCGAGGCGAAAATAAGGGGGGTCTGTCCGCTGCATCTCTCAAGGCAGCTGCGAGGCACTCCGGACGCACAGAGTGAATGGATGGATGCCGCGCAGCTGGGGAGACCAGTTTTCTTCTCCGCCCTCCGTTGCCGGGGGAATCGAGAATCCACAGCGTCACTGCCAGCTGCATTTTACTGCTGGGGATCGACTGTTCTGAAGTTGCCCGTCTAATGTGAATTCCAGCGTCAGTGCAGGAAGACGCTTTCACGCATTGCGAGTAGTTGCTCCAGCCTCGAGCTCATCAATCTTTACGGCAGGGAGCAATGCATCTTGGTGGCCGGTGACGTTCAGACGAGTTTGTTTCACTTCACCCGCCTCTTATTTGTGAGGGACACTGCGCATCGACCCTCCCCAACAGTCCCATCACCTTCACTTTCCCCCGCCACCCGCTGCCATCTGCTGACGGTACAGTTGTTTGGCTCCGCCAATAATGCGCTCGTGAAACGTCCTCTCCGCACGCTGCAGGATTATTGCCGTGGAGGAGTTGATGGCATATGGTGCGGGTGTGGCGTCGACAGAGTCATCCACGCTTTGTCTTAGAAACATGACTCTGAGCCGTGACAGTCATGCCGTGTTTCCCTTTTCTTGTTGGGAGTCCTGTGTGTGTGCTTGAGTTTTTTTTCTCCAATTTGTTTGCTGAAACGATCCAATGCTCCGCCGCTGCACATTGCCGATTTTCCATGGCGGTGAATTGAGCAGATGCCGGGGGAATTTCAGGCGGAGCAAACCGAGGTTTGCCTCACTTGCTGCTTCCGCATGACGATGGGTGGTGAGCAAACAGGGGAGGAGAATGCGGTGGCAGCAACGCGTGCCGTGCAGGATAAAAATTCAGACCTACCAGTGTGGCGAGAGTGCTGACGCAGAGTCCGTTACTGAGGGAACACAATACGGAGGCGGGAATGCCAGCGGAGCATCGCGTGGTGGCGCGCATTTCCCTCATTGGCGGGGTGACAGCCGAGCCTTCCAATCTGCTGGACTCTGATATTCTGCTGCACCTGATGGGACACTTTGTCGCCATGGCAGAGCAGCCGTCTGACTCTCTTGTTGACATCATGGCTTGGAGAATGGGAGTTTCTCTCCCATTGTGCCCAACAGAGCCGGCACTGGCGCGTTGTTGCTGTGTTGATGATGACGCTGTGACGGAGGGAATAGCGGTTGTGTATTCACGATGAAACCTACCGGAGACGTATTCATCGCGTGCGTTTTCCACCTCAGCACGCGGTGGGTGGCGGTCCTTTGAGGATTTTTGAGGACGGACTCTTTAACCGCTGCCTTTTAGTGAATGGAGTTGTTATGGAAGATGATGCGTTCCGCATGCAGCACAACGGATGCCCCCAGTACTCCTTGGAGGAGTGTAGGCGAATACTGCAGGGATTGATGGGGGACGGCCTGCCTGTGATGTGGCATGAGGCAAGTAACCGTCGTTTGGCGCACTCAAGCAGTATCCCCTATAATGCGCCTATCGGCTGTGAGTTGCATGGACACATGCAGACCGTCCACTTTTTCTTGGAGCCGCAGCACGCACGTTGGGGCTTTTTCGAGTCCCCTCAATACTGTGAGTCTTTTTTTTTTGAATGTACCATCGCCAGAGAGCGAGACAACTCTGGCCAAATTGGTTGTACTTTTCCAGGGACGAGACAGTCGAATATTTGGGCCCTGTGTGCGGTACGTTGCTCTACCCTGCCGTCTGCAGTGGTGCTTCTCCGACGACATTTTTGACCCATTTTTTCCATCAAGAAAGAGAGGGTTGGCTCCGGATACCGTTTATCTGCGGACGCAACTCTGCAGTCTTACGTGCCATATCTTCCACGCGTATTTCCGAGGGTACGCGTCATTTATCTGGACGCCAACAACGCCATCGTATCATCCGATGCGATACCCTTGCACCGTTGTTGTTGTCGTCACGGTAATTTTATTTTTTCCCCGACGGGAGTGAGACAGGTTTCGTTTTTCACCTGTACGATGTGCTGGATCCCACTGTGGGCGCTGAGAGCGTGGAGCGGAACGATGGCGAGCCCACAGAAACTATATTGCTTAAAAAGTGGAGGGCCGTTTGTTGTGCAAGTAGGGGGAGATGGTTGTGGTTCTCTCTTCCTTCTAGTTTTTGGTGGCTGTTCTGTCGTTATGTGTGTATTTCTTTTGTGGATCCCGTTTTGCAATGCGTGCAGTGTGCGAGTTGTACCTGCCGCGGGAGGTCGCATCATTACCGCCCACGCAACGGCGACGCTGCGACGATGTGTGTGAGTCTTTTGGCTGCACATCCTTGTATTTCTTTTTGCCTTTCTATTCTCCGCTCTGTGCGCAGATCTGCTCACCGAATTCAGCAACTCTACTACTACTACTACTACTACTACTACTACTACTACTACTACTGCTGCTGTTGCTCGCACGTGTACGCGGAAAATGATGATGATTGTGTGGCGTGTGTGGAGACGGAGTTGTTGTGTGGAAGCAAAGATCCCAGTGTGCACTGGCGCCCAGTCGGCGAGAGCAGCTGGACTGCGTGTCGTACTGATAAGAAACCAGACACTCAAGATCTAACGGAAGAGGAGGCTTTCAATGCGATATTCGGCGATTTTGCGGCGAGGAGCTGCTCGGATTGCGATGGCACGAATAATTACGTAGGAACGGAGGAATATATGACTCCTGACCTCACGACGCCCAATACCACCGATGTGTGCAGCGATGGGACAGCATCCATGGTCCTCGGGCACCCGCCCCGCCGCCAAGGAGCCGACAAACAGCAGTGCGTGCAGCAGCGCCACACAGAGCACATCTCCCTTAAACAAGAAGATCTAAGCGAGCAGAGGAATCTTTTTCGAAGGTGACATCTCCTTGCCGACGGTGGGAGGCAGCGAAATTATCATCTTGTGTGTGGAGAAACCACTGCTGCCTCTGCTTTTGGGATTGTGTGGAGTTGTGGCAGTCTTCTGAGACACGGAGTGTGAATTTGCGACTTCTCACGGCGAATATGTGCCGCGTTTTCCGCGGGTTTTCTTTTTACTTTTGTTAGTGTTTTTTTTTGTTGTTGTTTTCCTGGAATGATAAGAACCCTTTATTTACGTAATGTTCGGTTGCTGCACACTGTCGTGTGTGACGTGCTTCTCTCACTTGTTTTGTTGTTTGTTGCCCACACACGGTGCCGGCGTCATTGCTGTGCGTCCCACGGACTGCACGAAAGGAGGATTGGAGGAACAGGCCGGATGCCGCAATGAAATGTGAAGAGTGTTTTGTGTGGGCTGGTGGAACAGTGCGATCTTTTTTTCTCATGCAGGCACTGCATTCATTTATATGTAGAAACAGACCTGCTGAACTGCATGGTGTATGAAATGTTAATTCTGGTGAGGTATGTTTTTTTTTTTTTTTTTAGGCGGAGGCGACTCCAATTGGGCAATAAACCTTTTTGTTTTGTTTTGGTATTGCTTTCTTACTTCTGTTTTGCAGGTTGGTGTGCGTGCTTCTGGTGCCGTTGTTTACAGTGCGTGTTGTTGTGTGACTTGTCTCTCTTTTCTCTTTTTGCTTTCACTCTGCGTTGACGGGGAGTTAGTTTGTGCTGAAGGCTACACGCAAGTGACAGGAGTGATGGCGATGATGATGACTGGCCGTGTGCTGCTGGTGTGTGCCCTCTGCGTGCTGTGGTGCGGTGCCGGCGGTAGATGTGACGAGGAGGGGCCGGCACTTCCTGCCGGTGGTGGTGTACCTCCGCCGGGATCAAAGGAACTTGGAACGCTTCCACAAGACACCCAAGAATTAAAAGTTGGAGCAAAAGATATTAAAGTAAAAGTGCCACCAGCACCTTCCCCATCTCTAGAGGAAGATGAAGATGAAGACAGTAATCCTAATGAGGAAGAAGAAACGACGGAAGACACGGAAGAGGAAAAAGAAGAAAAAATTAAAGCACCAACCAAGACACACGAGGGCAAAAAGAATGAGGGAGCATCCCTACCACCGTCACCACCACTACCGCCATCGGGAGGCCCAACAGCAGAGCGAGAAAACCCAAAGAATCAAAAAAAAATAACGAACGAAGCCACACCGTCAGGACCCAAAATGGAATCCGAAGCACCGGAACCGCCTTCAGGGGATGCTACACAAGGGCAGCACAGTCATGACACAGACACAGAGGATTCGACGAAGAATGCAGCAACCGGCAGTCCAGCAGAACCAACAACCACATCTACCTCTGCAAGTGGCAGCGGTGATCATTTCCAGAATAAGGCAGATAAGGATGATGCTCAAAGCTCTGAAGGACAACACGACAGTCTTGAAACTGGCAATACCAACGTTGTTCCAACACTCAGTGAGACAGCACCACAAACAGCAAAAACAACCACCGCCGCCCAAACAAATGATACGGCGACGCCTGCCGACAGTGACAGCAGCACCGCGGCTTCCCACACCACCTCCCCTCTTTTGCTTCTTCTTTTTGTTGCGTGTGCGGCTGCTGCGGTGGTGGCCGCGTGAGAGTGAGAAAGAGAGAGCCGTGCACCGCCCGCACACACACTCGTCTTTCACCCACTCTGTGTGTGTGTGTCCCCTTGCATGGACTCTCGCCCTCACCTCACCCCACGAGGCACACACATAATGTGCCCATTGTATATATTGCATGCACACCCATGCAGGCCCGTTGGTGCTCTCTTTTGCACCACACGCACTGCTGCCGTCCTGCCTGGCTGCATGGGCGGAGCACCGTAACTGTTTTTGTTTTTGTTTCCATTGCATTGAGTGGGCGACCTCTCTCTCTCTCCCTGTGTGTGTTTTGCTTTACGGGAGCAATGAGATTATGTGCGCTGGTCGTCCCACGCCTCGGCTTTTTTTGTTTTACTTGTTGTGGTTGAGAGCACCCATTCCAGCTTTTTATTTATTTTTGGCTTGCTTTGACTGCGGACTCTTAAAACTTTCCTTGTGTATTCCTATATTGTTTCTTTCTTGTTGAGGGAGTGTCAGACTTTTGTATCCATGTGACACCACCAAGATGTTTTCTTTGACATACGCCATGCATCATTTGATCCAAGTTACCCTGCGGCGCTGCTGGTGCTGTTTGTGATGTCTGCGATGTGATTTGTCAGCGGGTGTCTTGCTGTCAGCCTGACGTGTCCTTCGTTCCTTGACGATTTGTTGCGTACAGACGGTGCGTGGGCGTCTCTGGCGATAGTGAGGGACGCGTGTCTCAGAGCGCAGGATGCGTCGCGGGTGTGCGGCGTCGTTTGTAAGAACCGATGGGTGACCATCCGCATCCAGGCGTCATCAACGGACTGTGAGGACAGCATAAGGCACTGCGGCTTCTTTTGGTTTTGCGCAAAGAATTTATTGGACGGTGCGTTTGTTTTCAATCTTTTGCAGCTTTTGTGGGGAAGGTGGGAGGTTGAGGGCATCAGGACTGAATTCATTTGAGTGGCTGCGTTCCGTTGAGTTGCGGCCAGTCGTGGCACTCTTTTGGGGTTTGGCGGCTCGTCTCTTTTGTTTACTTCCCACTGCAGCATGTGGATAACACTGATCCGAAGAACATTTGTTTGACCGCGTGTGAGCTGCTGCCGTGCGTGGTGCATGGGCTATGTGATTGTGTGGGGAGGTGCATTGGGGTGACGAACACTTCTGTTTGGCGTGTCGCGGTGTGTCGGAATGATGTTCGGATGACATGTGGAGCGTGTTGTTTTTTAATTTGTGTGTCTTCTCTGGTGGAGCCGAAATGCGTGCGGGGATTGTGGCATTGCTGGCTGACAGCTCCACGTCACTTTTCAGCACTCCTGGATGTGCTGAGGAATGACGGCTGGCGACCAGCGTGTTGGTGCTGCTGCTGGGAATAAGTGCATCGGGAACAGGCCGTTTTCTCTTTTCCGTGCTGGAGCCGACGAACTGGCACGAGGGCACCGGCTGCAGGCTGCCTGCCAGCACGTGTGAGCAGCGGATCCATGCACGCACAGACGCTCATCGCAAGAGCGTGTGCGATCACAGTGACCTTTTGTGGCGTGCTTTTGTGGACGTCAGCCCACCGAAGAATGTGTGAAGCAAACGGCTGACTGCACACGAGGAAAATAAGTGCGTGCACTGTGCCGTGTTTGAGCGTCGGTGGCAGGGCGGCAGGAGGCCCGTGCTGGCAACTGAGACCTTTGTGTCGCGAGGGATGTCGGTGTTGATTTTGGATCGTCGAGGGTGAAGTGATTTTGCTGCTGCCCGTGTGTGTGGCCACTCCGGCAGAGGGCGGACACAAAAGGGAGGGATGCAGGCGCTGCGTGTGTGTGTGTGTGCAGGTGCCATGCAACAACGTCACAACAAACATGCTGCGACTCGGTGACCCTCACATCGTTGTGGCCCTCACGAACAGCCGAGGCACGGCCCACACCGATGCACTTAGTGGACGGAGTGAGGCATCTTTTGAGGCGCCGCAGGGAACAGGATGTGTTGACGCAGCCACGACGTGCATGGGGTGTCACGATGGCACAGTCGTCTGTGGCTGGTGGAATATTTACTTCTCGAAGGCAACAGAAAGAGAGAGAGAGAGAGAGCTGCTCCTGCTGCTGGCGTCGTTGCTGCCTTTTGTGGCCTCCCATGCCGATTATTGTCTGTCCGCTGATCATGGGTGGTATGCCTCCACTAGTGACGTCGTCTGCAAGCATTTCACAGCACCAGTGAAACACACATCACGTCGCATGCTTTGGCTGTGGATGTGGTGTCGTGCATGCAGCCGGCATTATTTTGCCCGACTTCTTTTCACTGCTTTGCGACGAATAGATGCGTCCCCGCCCGAGTCATTCACTGCAGCTCCGTGTGTTGTACTGCCAGCACAAGACTCTCTTGTTGTCTGACGCCTGGCTGACAGTCCAAGACCACTGCGCTGGGACATGCAAGGATGTGGATTGCCGCTCACGGTGTTGGGCACCGCTGTTTGGATGCGGCGGCCACACGAGCGGATGTATTGTGGCACAATCAAATGCGTGAAGTACGCGGAATCACAGCGGCTGCAATAATATCAGCGGTGTGGCACCACGGAATGTGTGAGGGGGTGATGCATGATGAATCACAGTGGGCGGCATGCGAGGGAAGTGCACCGCGACGGAGCGTCATCCCGCCCTCAGCCTGCAGGGGAATGTACACCCACAAAATATATGGACGAGACACCACCAAACACACATGCCCCTCCATGCACCAATAAATAGGAGCGAAGGTGCGTTCTGGTGTGTGGGAGTCCACTCACATATTTTCATATCCACCGAAATAAACGGTGAGGAATCAGGTGCCACAGCAACGAAAGGAAAAACAAACATCTATTGCAACACTTTACCAGCGAAAGGCAGGAACAACACAAACCGAATTATTGGCTGCCCCAACACAAGAAACATTCACAAGAGGAAAATAAATAATAATTGTGCACCCTGCAGAAATCCCCAACACACGATGCAGGCATGAAGGTTTGCCCTCCGCAAAAACAAAACAACAAAACGCATGCAGGCATCTGCCACCATCCAAACAGAAACACAAATAAATGGTTGCTTGCATTATGCCATTCCTTGCGCTTATTTTTGCGTGTGGGGCTGCGGCTGCGGTGGTTCCCAGGCCTGCATGAAGTGGTGTGCGCTGAATGTGAACGAAGGCCGAAGGCAATTGAATTATTTTTGTGATGAATATTGGCTGCACTTCCCGTGGGCCAACAATTCACGTGGTGTGCGGGGATCTCCTTTTTAATTGTTACTTTGCTTTTGTGTTGCTGTGTGCGCTGCACCTCCTCTTGTGTGTGTGCGTACCCTCCGTGAGGGGTGCCGACACGACGGACCGCTCTCGCCGTATGTGCATGCGGTGGAGCCTTGTGTGCCGCTCCTGTTTGCTTCTC